GCCCTCTAATAGCAGGCACTTGGCTTCTCAGCACCATCCTAACTGGCACTTGGCTTCTCAGCACCATCCTAACTGGCACTTGGCTTCTCAGCACCATCCTAACTGGCACTTGGCTTCTCAGCACCATCCTAACTGGCACTTGGCTTCTCAGCACCATCCTAACTGGCACTTGACTTCTCAGCACCATCCTAACTGGCACTTGACTCTTCTCAGCACCATGCTAGCAGGAACTTGACTTTTTTTTCAGCACCATCCTAGCAGGCACTTGACTCTTTTCGGTACCATCTTAGCAGGCACGTGACTCTTTTCAGCACCACCCTAGCAGGCACTTGACTCTTTTCGGCACCATCCTAGCAGGCACTTGACTCTTTTCGGCACCATCCTAACAGGCACTCGACTCTTTTCAGCACCATCCTAGCAGGCACTTGGCTTCTCAGCACCCTCCTAACAGGCACTTGACTCTTATCAGCACCATGCTAGCAGGAACTTTACTTTTTTCAGGCACTTGATTCTTTTCGGCACCATCCTAGCTGGCACTTGACCTCTCAGCACCATCTTAGCAGGCACTTGACTCTTTTCAGAATTATCCTAGCAGGCACATGACTTCTCAGCGCCATCCTAGCAGGCACTTGACTCTTTTCAGAATTATCCTAGCAGGCACTTGACTTCTCAGCAAGGTATAAAGTCAGGTTACATTTTTATTTGTTTCGTCTAACTGCTTTTCTATTTATGTATTTTAGTATTAAGCAGTATATACATGATTTTATTCAACTCTATCAATGTATAACATGTACTAACAATATGATTTGTGCCATGGGAACGTAATAATCATTCTCTCTTTATTTCTAAGGTTCTTGCTTATTATGTATGAGTTGCTATGGGTATGTAAGAGTAATTAAGGATGTGTGGGTGTTGGTGTGTCTACGGGTGACAATGAATACATGTATAAGATTATATGGGTATGTAAGGGTAACTAGGTGTGTTTGTGTATCTACCGGAGACTGTTTATGCATGGGATTCTATGGGTATATAAGGGTAATTAGGGACGTGTGGGCGTTTGTGTGTCTACGGGTGACTAATTATATATGTATGAGATTCTATGGGTAAATAAGGGTATTTAAGAATGTGAGTGTTTTGTGTCTACAAGTGAATATATATATATATATATATATATATATATATATATATATATATATATATATATATATATATATATGAGGTTATATGTGTATATAAGGGTATTTAAGGATGTGTGGGTGTTTGTGTGTCGACTAGTGACTATGTATATATGTATGAGATTCTATTAAAGGCGGGGCTTTAAAATGATGAAAAATTACGAAACACAAAGAGTTGGGATCAATCAATTAAAAATGTTTTTCCCGTTAACATAGTGTCTGGTATACGTACTGACTGAGTGATTGACTGGTGTACAGAAATGAGTGCTGTGGTCCACCTAGACAAGGCGTCTGTTTTATGGCGTTCTCTACACTACAGGATTGTTAGAGCTGATTTCTCAAATCTCACAATAGATGGTAGCAACGTTTACAGGAAGAGCACATTAAAGTATTTGGGAATCACATCTGACATGAGCCTGTCCTTCAAGGACCACGTGGAGACGGTTGTGACAAGATGCCAAAAGGTACTTAATGCACTTAAGACTCTGGCTGCAACTGACACAGAGCGGAGAATGCTTTTCTCACTATATCAGCACCTGATCCTCTCAGGAATTGATTATAAACTAGGACTGCTTAGTGTCCCAACGAGTCAGATGGTTGAACTAGAGCGCACACAGAACGCAGCTCTACGGGTCATTCTGGGATGTACCAGAGACACCCCAGTGGCGTGTATGCGACACATCCTTAGTTTGCCAACTGTTAGTGCTCAAGGTGGTTTAACTTATGTCATATCTCAGAGTAGCTGCCGACATAGATCATCCTTTGCATGAAGCGCTAGAAGCAGTTAAGGATCGGTGGCTGATAAAAGGGAAGTCATGAATGGCTCGGGCAGAGGACATGATCAGTCAGTTTTGCATCCTGTAGACATTAGGCAAGGAGAGGAGTGGGTCAAAGTGGAACCGGAACAGTCAGCTTTGTGTAGAGTTATAATCATATAATATGGAAATGCCCCGAGTGCTGTGATGTCGGTTCTTGAAACAGCTCAACTCAAGGTAATTTTAGCCGTTAAGCCATATCTATGGCTCGGCCTTATCTATGTCCCGGCCATATCTATGTTCCGGCTTTATTTAGGGCCCCGGCAGAAGCCAGGGTGGGGCTTTTAAAAAAAAAAAAAAAAATTGCATCCCACACGGGGATGATTTATATTGTGAGCATACTATCAAACAAGAAAGAATGTAGGAGAGGAAAAGTACGACTTATATTGTGAGCATACTATCCGACAAGAAAGGATGTAGGAGAGGAAAAGTACGACTTATGTACAACCAGTGGGCTACTTACTGATTTAGTCAGCATATATAACCTCTTCTTCTTCTCCTTGTTCACCAGCTGTACACTCTAGCGGAAAGTTCTGGTTGTTCGTCCACTTCTGAACTGCAGTCCTGCTCCAGAACCTGAGAGTTGCGTGTGCATCAGTTTTACAGATCTGATTCACTTAAATGCAGATTGTTGGATCCTTGATTCTAAGGCAGATAAACTCCGACTTCAAAGGAAGCTCCTAATTAGTCGACTCTTACGACATGCTCTTGGGTAGGCAGCAGGTCTGTTCTTGTTTTCCCCATAACAGGGCCCCGGATCCCACACTGGACATATATAATTGAAGACACTTGCTGCGGTATGCTATGATGCTATAACTACTGACTGTATGCGTCTGATTGTTATTTTAGGTTAAGAAAAAGTTGACGACTTAACCTCTGTCTCGATGAGCACTGTTTCGTTGTTGTTCTGTCCTCCCATTATAAATCTCACATTCTTTTCAGAAGCTACATCTCTGCAGCGAGTAAATGTTCTCCAACTTGTTTTCTTACTGTCTATGTTTCACAACATCGGAAAGGCTAGTAATTTGTGCGTGTGTGGGGCAAAATAACCCCCCCCCCCTCCCCCATCTACACAATTTCTGTGTAGCATTCGGACACTTGTGTTCTTGTCATAGCAGGATATAACAGAATGGAGGCATAAGCTGCTAGCCCCAAGTCAGGTAAAACTACACAAGACGATGCTACTTTACTAGGAGTTGCGGTGGGTACAGTAGCAGTGGTACAGTAGCGGTGGTACAGTAGCTAGTCCTACCATACACGATGGTCTGTGTTGCATTCTTTTTAACGTATTCAGTATTAACAAACTCACCTTGCATGTGTTGATTTCTTCGTAAAGGCTTCACATAAAAACATTACAAGGACTTGCTGGACGGACAAGCATACATCACTTTATTGGACATTCATTCGCAGATGAATTTCTATTGAATTCACACTCTCACTGATTAAACAAAAAACGGACAAGATAAAGCTGCTTCTCTTTGATTCATGTCCAAAGTGGGGTGGCCATGTTTTTAACGTCATTATGACATCACCGTGAGGTAGCGTGCTTGACATTCCTGATATCCTTAACATCAATACTGACAGGTTACAAGACAATGACCTTGTTACTGTAATTCCTTTTAAGGTTTTCATTTAAAGCTCCCACATACTTACATGAAATAGGTTTCTTAATTAGTTGTGCATCCTCAAACCCTTACTTTAATTCAACCCATTTCAATTGTTATTTTACATATTTATTTTACATATATGTTATTTTACATATATGTTATTTTACATTTTTGTCTCATGACGATATTACTGTTACTTCTTCATGCCAAAATAATTGTAATTACTGTAAAAAAGTCAGTAATAATTTTAATGGTAACAACAAATAGTAGCAAATGTTGAAAACCTCGTTCAAATGTCTAAAACAGTGTTGGCGGGTACGACCACAACTGACCATAAAGAAGTGCAACTTTGACACATCTGAGAAAGTGAATTAACTAATTTTTAGTCAGAAACAGAAGTTTGCATAATTCTCTCACCCCCCCCCCCCCTCTCCCCCTTTTTCTTTTGGTTTCTGTTGTTCGTCGTTTGACTGGCCCTTCTGCACTGTTTTGTTTTATGTTGAGTATAGACTATTTTTTTTTAGATATGATCTCCATTGCATGTTGGGCATGTAACCAACCTACTAACTGACACCGCAGCCTGTCTTTTATTTGGCTCGGGTTCGTCCATCTATATGGTTTATTTTGATTTTAGAAACACATTTCCCTTGCAGGGTTGCGGAATGAAATACTGTCGCCCGGCGACTTAAAGAGTCACTATTCATATGTGAATCAAATGACACTACATGCTTAATTAAAGCTTGCATAAAATGAAGACTACAGTTCACACAGTGTGCGCAAACATCTGAACACGTTCTGCTGGACTGCCCAATATACTTATACCTACGGAGAGAAACCTGGCTCGAACCGCAAAGTGTGCAGAGCAAGCTGTGTAGAACGACGAGGGACCCGCAGCTGGCATGCGAATTCATAGGGCAGCCAACCTGATGGCCTGGCCTGAGTATACAAAATCGAACGTCAGAAGACGCAGGAGAGATTTGAATCCAAACGAGAAAATCCAGTGTACGAAATAACCAGCTGAGGATTGTGGGCGGGTTAATATCCTCATCTATACTGTCTGGGGACTGCGTGGTCTCGAGGCATGGTGTCCGCCTCGAGTGCTAGAGGTCATGGGTTCAGGCCCTAGTTAAGGCTGTGATTTTTTTTCGCGTAGACTTCTAGTAGTTTCCCCTGGTCTCTGGGTGGTAAAATCGGACGCCCGTGTGTATTTCTGTGCACGTAAGAAAAATCCTTGGTAGTTGGAAATCGAAAATATTAGCCTAACGGCGCTGCCGGGACAAAATTTAGAGTTTAAAAATCTACCCAAAATATTACAGGATGATCGCCGGTGCTACGGAGTTCGTGCACTGCGCTGAGATTCTTCGGACTCAGTGTTTTGATTGTGATCCGTTGTTCAAACCAATCTATATGGTCTGTGGCGGCGGCCTCATTTCTAGAATACAGATAGTTGACAAAAGCGTAATGATAAAAAATGCGTAGAACAGAAGCCGGTCCAGCACATATGCGATATCGTGCCACTCCTGGAAGATCTCTTCATCCCTCATCTCCATCTGCTGGCGTGTCTCGATAAGGCTGATCAGATAACGAATGACCAGGTTGTAGGTTCGACTGACCACAGTGCCAGCAGGAGCAGCATCTGTCCGTGCAGGTTCGTGTTCCTGTGTAGGTGTGCCTGCATTGACAGCCTCGTTGAGGCCTACACTAGGATTATTGGACTCACAGCTTTCGTATGTAAACTTGTGTTCTCGTGGTGACACGCGTTGTTTTCTCTTTGGCGTACAGCACCTTTGCGGTTTGAGAGGTATGTAGGTGGCCTTAGGCCGCTGTTGGTGCAGACCGTAGCTACCGCGATGATGTTGAGCAGTTGCATACACTTGATGAACAGGATTGCTTCCCTTTCTTTTGTCCTGACTGGGCAAGCTGTCAGAAGCAACTTGTCCGCCAGCTGTATGGTTCATCATTTGGCATTCAAACTCCTCTTCGATGCTGGCAATCGTCATCCCCTTCTCAAACCTGGAATCTCTTTGATCTATGTCGCGCTTGCCAGTTTTGATAACGATCTCTCCCGGTTCAGTGACGTGGTGGTGACGTCGTAAGCACAAGACAGGTGTGATGAGATGAAAACATAACTTTCTCAACCACAACGGGGCGCGGCTGGGCCGTCCTCGCTGATGGTGGATGCTGAGGACTAGGACAGACGATAGAACTGACAGACAACTTGTACTCAAAACAACCATCAGGTAGATACCTGTGAATGATAATGATAAACAATTTGAATGTTAAACCAAGTATCGCCATCACAACACTCAGGATACTCCCATAAGCGCTCTGTCAGTTTCAATTACAATGATATCAAAAACATTCTGACTGTATATCCTACTCGCCTTTCCCATGAGTGCAGAGTGTCGGCAAGATCCCTTTGTCCCTCTTTGCAGCACTAATCTCCTCATACCATGATGATCTTTCTGTGCCTCCGCACTATTAAATCGCTCCTAAATCACACTTTCAAAATCAAGCTTGTCATGCATTAGTTCAATACCAAATGCTGCAGGACCAAACAGTTGTCTGCCTGCTCATTTCACAACATACCGGCATTCCCTAGAAAAAATATCCAAGGAACGCTAACTACCCAGGACCTCTGAAGCTAAGCTTGCTACTCTGCACGGAGCCTACCTGTCTCCATCTTTCTCAACCTGCTCCGTGAGTCATTTACAATCGCGGCATGTGTGTACAACTGATTCTCAAGCTACCAACCAGAAGGCAGCAGTGACTGCTTCCACTTCCACTGGCAATAAAGATAAAGAAGTCAGGAGTGAAATCAAAAATTCCTCTCTTTTCCAGTTACACTCCCCTATGATTGTTTCCTAGGAGATTAAACCCCCAATGATTCAAAGAGACATTACGCGGATGCGAATCTAAAGGGAACAAATCCCAGAAATCCTTTTCAATCGTAAAATTCAGCAGTCTTGGGGCATTCTGTTGTTAGGAAGTAACCAGGAGTCAAATATAGATGCGTTATGAGTAGTTGCCTAGTGAGTTTGAACAGCTGATACATAAACATCATTTAAGAACAAAAAACGTACGCACATTTGGTTAGTGCAATTAGTTATAAGAGCGGCTGAACGAGTCGTTTCAACGTTGGGTT